GGAAGATATCAATTCTGATGTCAAATACGGATATTTCCCAAATTAGATTTAACCGAATGATTTAATATTAAAAAAATATATACATATAAATTCATGGGTATAATTTTAACAAAATTATGATTATTAAAATTTTTTTTTTTTTATAATTATTAAAAAAATAATGTAATCATGTAACTTTGGATGTCAAATTTAATATATAGAAATTGGGAATTAGCTAATAATATAAATTTTTAACGATTTGTGTTAACTTACACGTGTATATCTTTTCTTACATTAAAAATAGTTCACATTTCAAGTAGACACTTAACACGGGAGAGTGTGGAGAGAGTGTCTGGACAAATCAAATTAATCATGAAAAAGTTGAGTTGAGTAAAAAAAACTCCTACAAAATTTTTGATGAGCCGAGATTCCTTTTAGGGCATCCCGTTTATATCGTATATCATGCTATCATACCAGAAACACCTATCCTACATCAAAATTTATGACTGAAGTAAGAACCGATATTTTTAAAAAAAAAACAATGTAAAAATTGTTAAAAAGAGGACAATATGGCGCTTAGAACCCATTCTGTAAAAAAGTGATAAATCTATGTTATCAGGTGTTGTTGACCATCTCTATTGGGGCTTACAAGCTTTTAGCCTAAAAAAACAAATTCGAATATTTTCGAATTGGCTACTGTTTTATAGTTGACTAAAGTTAGGTTAATAACACTAGTTATCATATCACTTTAGTAAAAAAAAACGAATTATTTTATATAATTATATATACAAAAAAAATGGCAAAAACTAATTTATTATAAATTTTGTTAGGCCTCCCTCATAAAATTTTTTCCCAACCCCTTCACCCCTGTAAGGTTTAAACTCATGATTTTACTTAATCCTATAATCAACTTTTCCTTATTTCATTAACCAGTTCCCGTTAAAAGTTTATTACATGGCCCTGAATTTCATTTTATTCTTTAGGCTCAAACCGGCCCGAAATAGAAAGAAAAGAAAGAAAGAAAAGAAAGAAAGAAAAAAAAAAGGAAAAAAGAAAGAAAGAAAAGAAAGAAAGAAAGAAAAGAAAGAAAAAGAAAGAAAGAAAGAAAAGAAAGAAAAGAAAGAAAAGAAAGAAAAGAAAGAAAAGAAAAGAAAGAAAAGAAAGAAAAGAAAAGAAAGAATAGAAAGAAAGAAAGAAAGAAAGAAAGAAAGAAAGAAAGAAAGAAAGAAAGAAAGAAAGAAAGAAAGAAAGAAAGAAAGAAAGAAAGAAAGAAAGAAAGAAAGAAAGAAAGAAAGAAAGAAAGAAAGAAAGAAAGAAAAGAAAAGAAAAGAAAGAAAGAAAGAAAATAAACAAAGAATAGAATATTTATTTACCTTCCGGGATTTTTTTAATAATTATGTCTATTAATTTTCATTTTCCTTTAATATTAACATAAATTAACGTATTTAAAAATTAACTTGAATATGATTAATTTTTTAAGATAAGGCAAAAAAATAACGAACTTTAAAATTAACCCTGGATGCATATTGCATTTTTATTTTTAAAATTTAAAATTTATATAATTTATATAATTGATATTTATATTTATATATAAATTTTAACTTTTCTTTCATTTATTGATTTATTAAAAATATAAAATAAAACAAATTAAAAACTTTAATAACCGGATTTTGAACCTAATTAAAATTGAGAAATATACAAACAAACCTATATCAGCAATGTTATACTACCTAGCAGAGTTGTTAAAAGATACTTTTTAAATGGATCTAGATACAAATACATCGTCTAAAATACTATCTAGATACAGATATTTTAATCAAAAATCTATCTAGATACAGATACCACATTATTATCTAGATACAGGATCTAGATACAGGATTGTATCTAGATCCTTTAACACCTCTGCTACCTAGTATTGTTTAAATGGATCGTTTTGAGTCGGTTTTTTAAAAACGGATAACTTCAATATTTCATCCAGAAAACTATCACGCGACCCTGAAGATTTTGTTTGTAGAAGGAACAAAGAATACGGCATCTATTAGCCAAATCTCGAGGCTTATGCGATATATTTCTGGCTAAAGTATGGAGTTAGCCGTTCAACAACATTAAAATTACCTAACTTTAGTCAACTATAAAAAACAGTGTATAGCTATGTTTTTATTCGAATCAATCTTCAAGTTTATACTCAACTTAGAAACTTAGTATACATATTTTTTAGGCTAAAAGTTTAACTAAGCCACAGTATAAATCAAAGTTAGGGTAATTTAACAACACAAATCAGCACAGCAATATAACCTATAAATATTATGCTCTCATTTTTTTTTTAATATGGCTTATAAAACCTAAATAATTTTTTTTTTATAATTTCTTAGTTTATTTTAAAATTAAATTTTTTTTATAAATCTAACTTTTATACAAATTTTTGTTTTAACTTCTGGTTGTTGCAAGGTGGCTGCCTACAAAGTTAAATCCTTTAGTCAATTATAATTCAAATATAAGATATTTATTTTTCAATTATTTTTTATATTGAATAATAAATCTTAAACCCTTCCATTACAGATTAAATTATTTTTTTACCAACACATTATTTAAAAAAAACATCGATAACGTTTCAAAGATATTACCTCATTACTCCCCTACGGTTAGTAATAATAGTTCGTATCTTATAAACTAATTTTGATTGTTATTTTATCGAGAAGTTATTTATAATAATATCACTAAGTGATATTTTTTTTGGTAAGATTATCGATTTCTTAGTGTATCACTACGTCCTGTTCCGATATCTTTTAACAAGTATTGTTTTCTTTTAATAATATCATATATATATAATATAAAATCAAAGTTTGGAAATAAATTTCATTAAAATGTTAAAAAACAAATGTGGACAAAATTAAAAAAAAAAAATATTACGTGGTTTAGGAAAACCAAAGGATATTTACAATAAAAATAATTGTTTTAAAAACTTGAAAAAAAATTTAATACTTCAGTTTTTCTGATGTTTTATTCCTCATTCGTATTTGTTTGTAACCTTCTGGATTCTATTCAATATGTTATGGCTATGTACACAAATATAACGCTCGCGTTTCCACTAACGATGAGTATTGGTGTTTAAAGCGGAGAACCTCAATCCCTCTATTATTTTTCTTTTCTTTTTTTTTATTAGTAATTGATGTTAGATAAATGATTAAACAAGTAGCCTATTTCTAATAATGGGCTGATGGAATTGAGTCGAAAAAATTTGCAAGATTGGAATAGGGAGTGTCGTAGTTGAGGGAGACATTGATTGTGCTTAGTTCTGTCAATACCATCATTTTATGAGTCTTTAATTGTGAAAGACCATGGTGATATCATGAATTTTTGGCTAATAAAAAAATATTATATTGGGAGTTACTTAAAAAATGTTTTAAATTGTATTAAAGCAATACGTATTTAAATGTATTGATTTATCAATAAAAAAAATTTTTTTTTTACTTACATGTTTTATCAATATATTTCAACAATCAAAATTAATTCAAATATTATTGGTTCTAGGAAAAACCAGTGATGCTTTTTCATTAATAGAGATTCTAATTCTACTAAACTTTTATATATATTTTTATAATATTTTATCTCATTGAGTTTGAAATTTTTTTTATAACTTTTGATTATTATACTTTGCTAGTATTTATACACATGCACTTACCAAAAATGGTAATTAATATCTTAAGAAACGGATCTAAGAAAAAAATATTTATCTTGTAGTTGCGAAAAACAATAAATATATAATGAATATAGAGGGAAAAGAGAATATTTAAGTTATGAGAAATAGGCAGAAATATTAGCAATCATATTTTCTATCTATATGTCATTCATTCAATTTGGAATCAATGAAACTTCGTCGATGTATCCACCGAGCTGAGTAGTTCAAAATATAACCCAAAGTATAGATTGTTCTTTTATAGGATCTCTGGTAATAAAAGCTGAGATCACTCTTTTCTACTAAGTATAGGGCTATCATCTTACGAAGGTAATAATTTTCTTTGGGATCCTCTAGGTGCCCTAATTCTTTCTTTAGGCTAGGGCCTAATATTCGAAAGATGTCAAAGTCGTATTGATTATGGGTAGGAATGTATAGTTGATAGGTATGTGGCAAATGTTTAGCGAGTTTATTCAACTCAGTCTAAACATCTTATTATATGTTGGAAGAGGCAAACAAAATTTAGAAACAGTAAAAAAAAATCATCAAGTAGTTTGCCATTGGACTGCAAAGTCCAGTGGACTTAAAGGTCGACGGATGTGAGCAGATTCTACATAATGAATCTGCCTCTATTGAGTCTAGAGAATAGCGGCCTTTGGGAAGTGACCTAGTTTGACAAATAACACGGTGATGGGGTATTACCATTTAGCTATTCATTGCTAAGCAGGTTGGTCAAGATTACAACAAAACTACTGACTAAGCTTCTAACTCAACCCTTCTGGCGCGCCTATGAGGGAGAATAGATTAATGAGAGAGACTTATGAAGATTCATTGTCTATAGAAGCGAGAGGTAATAATATTTTGTGAGTGTGTGTATGATGGCTTCAGATGCCAAACGAGAGGATATGAATTAGTTAATGGAAGCGAGGGCCACCTTATTCCAATGACGCCTGCTTTGGTTTGGTAAGGTAGCCTATAACCAAGATAATTTTCGATATTACATATATCGATATTGTGTATAGCTTAAATTTTTATCTCATTAATTAATTATCTTTTTACAATATTTATTATTTATATGATTGGAAAATAATATATTCACTGAATCTATTTCGGATATTAATCTATTTAAAATTAAAAGTTAACCTTGAATCAAGTTTAAAAATTTATCGTAAATTAATACACAAATATAAAAAAATTTAAAAATAACATTAATTAATTAATATGAATTTTTAAAAAATTGCCAATTATTGTGATATACTTTTCAAATATATGCAATATAAATTATATATAACCTTGAGAATAACATATATAAATTAAAATTATTTTATTCAAATTATTATAGTCGTTTTTCTTAAAATAATGAGTAAAATTATAATATTGTCCACTCTAGTTCTCACTTTTGGATGTAACTAAAATTGACTCTATAATATACTATTATATATATATATATAAATTCTGCTTTATTTTTATTAGTTGTGGGAGCCAATAGTAAATATAATTTTTGATATTTATTTTATTTGATGTTATTTTAAAAAATTATCTAAAAATATCGACAAAATAGAACCGATATTTTGTTTACTCAAAAAAAAAGATATAAAAAATTACTCATATTTTTAATTTAATGGTATTCATCATTATATTATATCCCTTTAAATGAAAATTTTTTTTTTATTAGCTGAATCGATCATTTGCAAGAAGATAACTCCTGGTATAAACCATTTTAAATTTCTATTATCTTATATTAAAATAAAAAAATAGCTGTCAGAAGAATTTTGAGGGCTGATGAAATACTATGCGGAAGAGAAAGTATTTATATTGAAATATATAAATTACCGTATATTACAATATTTATAGATGGCTTGATACTAACTACCAACGAAAGTTTATACAAAATTATTACCAAAAATTTGTGATTGGAAATGTGCTATATTTTAAATTATTATTCCGAATACAATAATGTTGAATTCCATAACAAATCAACATAGAGTTTTAGGCAATTACCACCTTTAGGTTTTGTTAAAATCTTGAAAAATGATAACGCCTATGATTACAAAATTACATCTAACTCAGGGGGGAGGTTAATATAAGGGCGCTCGACTAATTCACAGTTTGTGCAAAAATTTGCGGCGATTCTGTATTTCGCTGTCGGCTAACTGCATTGTAAGCTTAATTTAAATACAAATCGTATTATTCAAAATTATTTGACTGAGGAAAAAAATAAATATATTTAGGTAAAATACCGGAAATATTAAACCGAAAATATGTGATTCTAGAGGTTTTTAAAGTTATGACTATTTAAAAATTTCAAATATTATATTTTAAACAAGATGTAAAGATCAGTAAATCTAACTGAATGGCAAGAAGTTGCCAAAATTCGTGCTTATTCAGCCAATAGGAAACAAAATTTTAAACTCTTGGTGGGCATTCAAGATGAGAGAAAAACATTTAAATTTATTCAATTCATTAATTATTTACATCATTGACCAATTGTTACGGTTATCTTACAATGTTATCGATGAGTATTAAAATAAACAATGCTAAAAGTAGTTTAAAGAAATTAAATTAAAATTTTAAGTTCGGCATATTTTTATCAGAATATATATAATATATATATATATATATTATATAATCATTATAACCATAAATGCATGACTATTGATTTTTTACAGATCTTATTTTATTTTAGTTAGAGATCTGCGTCTACAATTGACGGGTTTTTAACACGGATGCTTTTCCATTGTTTAAATTGTTTTTTTCAGTATTGGTTGATTTAGGCTATTTATATATATTATTTTATTGTTATTTTAAGTTAAATTTTCTAAAATATGCCATATTATGAAATAAAAAAAGACCTTTCATGTTTCAAATTCACCCTCTCACCCTTATTTACAAATATTTTTACACCGCCGTTCACTTCCCTCTTTCCCTTCAATGTTTATCTTTTATCATCCACAGAACGCTAGTTTAAATCTTCTCAAGCTTTTAAATAAAATTTTTTTTTGGAAATATCTCAACAAAATATTGAATTAAAATTTCTTAATTATTTGGCACAAAATTTTCAGATTTTATAGCTTAAACTTGAGTAATTCAAAAAAGTATTTAACAAAAAAATAGTGTTTAAGGATAGAAATTTGGTAATTTAAAACCTGCAAATTCTTCACCAATATTTTTTTATGGAGATGTATCTTGAACAAGATTTATAATTTTTATAAAAGAAAATCAAATTAGTGAAAAAGCTCCAATCTTTTTTTTAAATAGACATGTTCCAATTTTGTACTTCCTGTATTTTTATAATACTTTTAGGGCTACTAGAATACATTTAAAAAAAAATTATCCTAGCTCAAAGCATCCGGTGATCTATTAGAAAATTCAACAATTTTATAATATTTTGCATTTCGAAAACCGACATCTTGGTCCCTTAGTGGGTTTAAAATCTTCAAATTTATATTTTTTTTATTACTATCAAAATACAAATATTTTAAGATCTTAAAAGAGATCAGGATAAAAAATGATATTTTATTTATTGTTTAATTATAAATTCGTTTATATATATATATGATTTTCTCAATATTATTCTAGGAAATGTTAACGGTGTTATCTTAGGTATTTAGCCCTTTTATAGATGATTCATAATTATAAATTTTCGAATATTTCTTATAGGTTCCCTAAATATGAGCTATTACATCATAAGTACTTTTTTTTAAACAATTATTTTAGATTTATTTTAATATTTCACTGTATCAGGTTTAAATTTGTGGATCGGAATAAGTAAATTAGGAACAAAATAATTTATAAAAATAGAGCGATCTAATATTTAATACTTTTAGAAACAAATGAAATTCCAACGCTCAATTTAGGTATAAAAAAATTTAAAATGAATATATAGAATAATTAAAATATAGAACAAGCAATGGATCCCATAATTAGTAAAATATTGTTAAAAATGTTAGTAAGGAAGGTAGGAAAAAAGAAAGTTCAGATAAGAAGATTCAATCATATAATAATCTAATAAATTGAACTAGTTTATAAATCAAATTGAGAAGAAAAAAATTCTAATCATTGGTTAAAATTTTTATCTAAATAATAAGCATTATTTGATTTTTTAAAATATAGTTTTGCAACTATATAGTCCCCAACACATAATTTTTTTTAAAATTAGTTTTTAATATGTATCATATAATAGTATATTCAAATAATAATAATATATTGTATTTTTAATATAATAGTATCTAATATAACAATGCCTTTTGGGAATAGAGGTAGATTAATTTTATATTATCACCTACAAAATTTTTAAAAAAAAACGAACTTCTATTAAAACTAATGTTAAATTTTCACCCTATGGCGAACTCTAACAACTTTACCGGGCTCTTTTCTTAATAAATGACTTAAGCCTCAAAATTTAACTTTAACTTGAAGATAGAGGCAAACATTAAGCTACTTTCCAGTTAGTCAAAGTTTAATGACACTATTAAAAAGATACAATCTTATGGATGGTATTGGTGCTCAGCCCTAAAAACAGTTACAAAAGTCAATATTTTTTCTAAATAGTGTACTAGCAGAAATTCAGGTTCTTTGACGGCTTTACTGTGCCAATATTATATCTTTCGCGCTTAGGGTACATTTAATATATACTTTTGCAAATCCTCCTTTACATAATTTTAAAAAATATATTTTTCTTTGGTAGTTAAATTATTTTCAATTTCTTTAAGATTTGGTTTTAAGATATTTAACAGTATTTTCCAAGATACATGTAATTTATTTAAATAATTGATAGTTTTTCACTATTTTAAAATATTTTAGCTTTACAATGTCCAAAGATATTTATTAAAATTGAATTTATGCAAAAATTTTGTCAATTGTTTGCTCTTTAGCGACTTTCGAGTTGAAGATGTTAAAAGCTTAGAACTTTAAAATTTTTAGATTTATATCAATAAACATGTCATAAATTTAATAGCAAAGCGAATGATTGGTTATTTTGTTAATTGATATATCATATAGTATTTATCTATTATAAATCTAATTTTTTTTTATAATTACGATATAGTTCTGAGAATAATACAATTAAGTACATTTCTTCTTATAAAAAATTTGCAATATTAAAATAAATGATTTCACCTACTGTTAAGCATTTTAATTAGGGGAAAAAAATATGGATAAAAATATTACGATTAAACAATTAATTTATGGATATATTCCATTTCATAACTATAATTTTACATATATATATATCGATTTATGTTAACTTTTATCTTTAATTCACTTTGCAAAATAAATATATAATATATAAAAATAATGTAATTTTAAAGTAAATTTGAAATTAAAATTAATAGATGCGGGGAAATGCCTTATATGAGTTGGGTTTTTTAAAATAAGAGGAAATAAATGTATTATCACTAAAGGTATGAGGAAACATATCATTTGAAAGATATAAAATTATCTCCTACGTTTCTTATAAAAGGTATAATAATAATGAATGATTATTTCTTTCGTATCCTTGATTCTATGTTCGATTCCTCCACTTATTTCGATCATTTACCAATTAAGTTAACAAAATTAATTTTAAATTTAAAAATTTCTTCTAGGTTCACCTTCAGCTTTTATTCAAGCTATTTTATTTTCCAATATATCCTGTCTCTCACCTTTCTATATTAGTAAATTATCGAAACATATGTTCCTTTATCTTAGCCAGAATTTGAGTGAATCTCTAAAAGATACAGTCATCACCTGATCCTTCTTAGATAATTTTTAGCAGTAAGTAATGCTCATAATATTTTCCTCAACCTTATATTCACGGTCCAGCATTCAATTGCCTATAATAAATTATGTTAATCATTGACAAATATAACTTGCTATTAAGATATATATTCCTAAAAACATATACAACCGGTTTGTAATTGGCATAATTATTGGTTCGCAAAGTATTTACTACCTGCCCATTATTCAAGATTTTTTTACCCGATAGCCAGACCATTACTTATAAAATTTTTTTTTAACCCAACATGCCCATTCATTAAAATTTTTTGCAAATATAAATATAAAATTTATATTTAATGATATTATTTGTAATTAAAATGCATAACAATAATAAATAATGGGTTGACATTTTCTGGATTTAAACACGTTCTCCTAAGTTCAAAAAATCTTACAGCAATTTTAAATACTCTTCAGAAGAATAGTTGCTAGAACATTTTTTTAGCTAATCTTGATAGCTTAGGTTACTTTATCCAGTGATAAAAAGAAATTCCTCTATCTGTGTCAATTTTTAAAATATGGTAGCCAGGATAATATTTCCCTAGGCCTAGAAAATTCGCTGGTAGATGCCCAAGCCTTTGTGCCATCTATGATCAAAATCTTTAGGCTTGCTTAATATTTTTCTGAAAAAAAACTGAGTTGGCAGTTTTTAAAAATAGGCTCAAATAAAGAGATTTTGCAACAATGTCGTTTCCATCTAAGTAGGATATCCGTTAGAAATATATTATCTTCCTCAAATGATATCTCGAAAGAAAAAGTTAAAAAGTAAAACCGTTAATAATAAATTTTTTTAAAAAGATAAGGTTTATATGTTTAATTTAATAGTTTCGTTATTGTTTTGAATTATATGATTTTTTTTACGTAATTTTTTTTTTTAAAATAAATTTAATTAAAAGAAATATAAAATTTAAATGTGTTGTTTAAGAATAGTAAAACTTGTATAGACTAAAATCTTTGCTAAATTATATAAATTAAGCTTATCACTTTTAAGATTTAAATATCTTATTATATCATCAAACAAGGTGCTTTCCTAAACAATCTCGTCCTCCCTATGTAGTAGTTTAATTTGAGCGTAGATGCTATCAATATTAAAGATTGCATTATTTATAATTTGATCCCTCCTTTAATTGAACTCTTTACTTTTTTGGGAAATGGATAAAATCAGATTTTCGTATATGTGTTGATGTTATATTTTTCAATGCAAATGATATCCAACATATTTTCGATATATTAATTTTTTTTGCTATATTATTTTGTCCCGAACGGTAAACATCCTCAGTCGTTGGAACTTTGGTAATAAAAATGTCAAGATTTTATGAGGCAATAACAAATAAAAGTTGGAAAATATATAACCAGCCTGCCCAATGTTTAAATTTTTTTAAATTAACCTGTCCGCTTGTCAACTTTGTTAGGCTTTTGGCGGCGCGCTAAGGGCCCACTTGTTTTAGTAAAATATCACCCAAAATCGAAAGAATATAGGAAAATTTTTTCAAATCAGTAAAAAAAAATTTAAATATAAATAAGAATATGAAAACTTTAGTCAGTTACTAGTTTGTCAATTGTTTATAGTTGAACGCAAATTAACTAAAGCTTTATATAAGCTAATTAACCGATATACGTATACTATAATAATAAAAATGTGTTAACCATCTTTTAGGACCTGCGCACGGCAACATTACCATATTTGTAGGAGGTAATTAGATCTTTTCATAATCTCTTATATATATATATATATATAACTTTATAAATACTTTTGTATGTTAAAAATAAGAAATGGGCTTGAAAATTAAGAAATAATGATAATAAATTCTGACTGGGCCGGTTTTGAAAATATAAAATTATTATAAATCCCGACAGAATTGGCTATTATACTCTGTAGAGGAACTTACTGTTTTAATGGTTATTTAGGCTATATATAATATATCATTTTATAAAAAATATATTTTATAATAATGAGTAAATTATTAAATTTTTCAGAGAAAAACTACTGTTTAAATTCAAATTTGTTAGGGTCAACTACAAGAGAAGAGCCCTCTACTAACCCATCCCACCTCTCCCCTTAATTAAGTAAATATTTACCTAGTCCTGAAACAAACTACTCATAATGCCAATATAAATAATATAAATGAAACGCAAAAATAATTAAGATTTATTTTTTTTCTATTTTAGGAAGTAATGCCATGTTCAATGAATCAGGTATATAATATAATTTATAGAACCTTTCTTTTCTTTCTTTCTTTCTTTCTTTCTTTCTTTCTTTCTTTCTTTCTTTCTTTCTTTCTTTCTTTCTTTCTTTCTTTCTTTCTTTCTTTCTTTCTTTCTTTCTTTCTTTCTTTCTTTCTTTCTTTCTTTCTTTCTTTCTTTCTTTCTTTCTTTCTTTCTTTCTTTCTTTCTTTCTTTCTTTCTTTCTTTCTTTCTTTCTTTCTTTCTTTCTTTCTTTCTTTCTTTCTTTCTTTCTTTCTTTCTTTCTTTCTTTCTTTCTTTCTTTCTTTCTTTCTTTCTTTCTTTCTTCAATTCTTTAATATTTTATTAGTCTCGGGAAAGTTCACAGTTATATCCGATAGAAGTAATATAAAAAAAAATCGTTTTTCAGAATTATTATGATAAATTTTTTATAAAAATATTAAATAAATTTTTTACAGCTATGCCTTACATTCTTCAACATAATGGTATATCACCAATTTATATCATTTAATTTTTGTTTGCAACTAAAAAAAATTTAAATGACTTTATAAAATAGTTAAGAAATTTAAATAGATGAAAAACGAAAAAAGATTTTTCAAGGAAAATTTGTTTAGAATATATTTTATGTAAGTGGTATCTAGGCAGGAATCAAAATAATAAGGGTGAATTCCTACTCATTACCTCCCTCCCCATTAAAGATCATAAAAGTCTACATATGCAGCATCAAGACAATTTGATGTCGGAATTGACAAATTTTATCGTGCAAGGTTTGTTTATTTCTGCCATATTTCTTAATCCCAAGATGGTGCGGTATCGTTGTTCATGAGAGAAGAAATATGATCAAAAATTAATTATTTTTAATAATAATTATATTTCCAAATACACTTATAATTTCTCTTAATTGAAATTATAATATTACAATTTTAATAAATGATAAAACCATATCTTTAGCCTAAATTATCATATAGAAAGAAGTTCGTGTACCATTTATTAAATGAGAGAAAGAGGTATTATAGGATTGGTTTTATATATTGAAAGATAGATATGTATTAGAAGTAAAAAATTCACTTCTTCAAAAATTGTTCCGACTACATTTTTTTTTTGATTTTGTTAGTCTAATTAATTATAATCCTTATGTTTAATTTAGCTATGATTTCATTAGAAATATATTGATTTCTTTTAGGGCTGAATATCTTCATAATATATTTAATATTATTGTTAAAATTTCAATTATGATATAAATTGCTTCAAAAATTTAAAATATCCTTTACTTACGATTTATAGCCATCATTGATTTGATTCAATATTATTATCAATGCTCACCCAATTCTCATTCCACGGGAAGAATTGCTATCTATCTAGATCTAATTTAATGGCTATTTGAATAATAAATAAAAACGTTCACCTTTATCGGCATAATTAATATAAAGAAAAAGGGGGTTGAAATATATATTAGTATATTTTAGATCCTAATTATAGTATTAATAGCCTTTTGTAAAAAAATAATGACATGATTAAAAAAAATAATTGCCCCATTTTTGTCAGCTGAAGTAAAATCCAAATAAAATTAAAATATATTTGAAACTTATTATTTGTGATCAAAAATTATTATTATTTAGAAAATTAATAAAAATTTTACTTTTGACGTAGCATTATGAGAGAAAGAAAGAGAAGAAAGAGAAGTAGAAGAGAAGAGAGAAGAGAAGAAGAGAGAAGAAGAGAGAAGAAAGAAAGAAAGAAAGAAAGAAAGAAAGAATTTTATAATTTGAGAATTTCAAAATTTGTGATTTCAAAATTTGAGAATTTTTTTCCAACTTCCGATGTGCCATTATTGCAAAGCAAAATATTGAAAATGAATTTTGCGAAAATAAGAATTTTATATAAAATATTAAAATTATTTAAATATATTTAGTAAAGATTTTAATAAAAATATGTCTTAACTGCCTATGCAATTTTTTAAAATTATTTATATCTTAAAATTATCAAAATTTCTCAACAGGTTTGGTTTTTTTAATAAAATTCCAAATAAATTTTGAATAAATTTGTTATTAAAAATAAATATAATTATTTAAACTTTTGTTCGAGGGGGTTTAGTTAATTTTATTTTATCTCATTTTTGTTTTTACACTAGCAATAAAATAAGACATGGAAATTACCTTCGATAAGAATTTCGAATCATAAAGAGGGTTTATTTTGAAGAAAATGATATTTATAAATAATGCGGTTTTTAATGATATAATAAGAGAGCATTATAAAAGAGAACACCTTTAACATATCAGCTCTCATTATTAATTTTAATAAATAATTCATTTCATATAATTTATAATATATTTGATAAAGGTACCAGGATAAACTTGTAATGGATCCAACACTGGAAAAATCTTAATTATTAATATTATAAATGCTTTAACATTATATTTTTATTTATCTTTGGGGATATGACAATATATTTAAATGGATTGATTTATCAATAAAAATATTTTTACTTACATGTTATCAATATATTTTAACTTTATTTTGGTGTTTTGAGAAAAAACTAGTGATTCGTTTTCATTAATAGAGATTCTACTTAACTTTTTAGATAGTTTTTTAAAAATTTTATATTATTTTTTTATTGACATGGAGATTGAGTTTGAATTTATTTTTAAACTTTGATTACAATATTTTACAAGTATTTATACACACACACACACCAAAAATGTTAAATATTATCTTAAAAAAAGTAAGAAAAAATATTTTTCTTGTCGTTGCAAAAAAAATATTGTGCTTCTTTTTTTTCTAAGAATTAGTATGTTGGCTATGTTAGTCTTCCATTTCAGCACTCATGGATGTTGTATAATCTTACTATTTGTAAACTGACAGATATGGACGTTTTTCGATATATTTTCTAAAAGATTATTATTGATTTTTAGTATCATTATATGATATGGAGATAAAGAAAATAAAGAAATATTAGTTTGATATATATATATGAAATGTTGGGGTTTGTAATATTGGTCTGAAATATTGTTTTAAATGTAATAATGGATAGTATTGGTTTTAAATTAGCCTTATAGAGCCCAGACAACCCAGACTCATCCAAGAATATTTAATCTTAAATATCACAAGTGATCAGCCTTAATTTTTACAATTTAACCCTCTCTGAATGAGTTTGAGACCTTTAGCTTGAGCCGACTAAGTGTTGTTAAAATATCCCCGATTAAGGGTCGATTTTTTAAAAACGACCCCATTAAGATAATAACCAAAATGATGCCTAGGGATTTTGCTCTTAGCTGTCAGAAAGGTTTGGTCATCAATTGACTAAAGCTTGAGGCTTACATAATATTTTTTAGGCTATAATCTTAATCGGGCCGTTTTTCTACTCATTAACAACATTTGTTCTAGGTTTGAACAGCAGTTGTAATTTTTATTTTTTTTTACATTCAATATATTTTGTTAAAAATGACTACTACTAATTTTTATATTAGAACTCTAAGGTTTCGTGACAGATCCTTATTGCGTCAGCGTTACTTTTGAAAAACGATAATATAAGATAGAGGTTGGGAAATATTAAATATTTATTAATTTATAATTAATAAATAACTATCAGACGCAAAAAATGAATTAGGCATCTAAGATATATATATATACTCTTATTGAGAAAAAGATTACTTTTCTTTTATTAGATCTCTTAAGCTATTCATCCCTTTGGATCTGGTTAGAAAGACGCTGTCTCATTTTGTACATAGCTTAAAAATTTTTATATATAATTTAAAGAATTTTAAGCGTGCTTAATTTAAAAAAAATAAATATACATTTAACATACGTAATTCAATATTTGTTTTATTATTAAGTTTAAAATGTCAAATCGAGTTAATTTTGCTAATTATATATTGACGAAGCAATAAAAAGTAACTCAAAATTTATTTTTAAAATTATATATAACCTTCGATAAATTTGACCTTTCTAATTAAAATGATTTTCGTTAAATTCCCCCCCCCCCTCTTTTTTAAAAAAAATGGAACTTACAGTTAGTTTTAATCAGAGCTTTTTTCTTGTTCAAGTTTCGTTTCGAGAACTACTCCTTTGAATCGTGGGTGAAAATAGAGGATGTTTTTGGTTATTAGCTTGGGAGGAGTAGGAGAACAAGTTGATCAGGACGGCCAAGCACTTCGTGAATGACATATGTCTAGCAGAAAGAGCCCCTGGCTACCAACTGCGAAGAAGAGACGTTTATGAATTCCCATCGCTAGAAAGGCAGGTTTCCGCCAAGGCTGCCAGTGCCTCTGCGACTCCCAATTCCAAGGGCCGAAGGGGGGAGAGTTCTGATGAACTCATTTACGGTTGTTGGGCCTTCCCCTTCGCTTAGGGAAGCCTCCCTCTGCATTGTCGTTGAGCTGGTAGTGGGCTCCTCCTCGTCAGTGGCAGGGAGCTTGTCTTTCCCGGTAGGTGCTCCTTGCTTGCGGCCACCTGCGGAAGCTTGGGCCGCTTGAAAGGGCTGGTTGGCTATAAGTGGAAGACTTCCCACTAATTTTCAGAGATTATGTTGGGCCTCGTATTTAATTTGGACTCAGCCCCATGCATAGGACTTCAAGTAAGTTTGCGCTTTCATGGCGATGTCTCTGAGGTAGTCTAAGGATGGATATTCGCATATTTTTTTAACTGACGAGGTCGAGCAGACGGGGATGAAATCGAGGATCTACCTAGCGAAACATCTAGTGTCGACTCCCATCATCATAGCCAATATTTTTTCCGATAGGATCTCTCCCTACCTGGGTGCTGTCTTGCCTCCGTCAGCGCCGACCGACAGCGCCACGATCGGCAGGTTCCATAAACTACTCAGGCTCATGGGCATCGATACGACAGATGAAACCGAACTCAACTTGTTCGCAAGATTGGACTTGTCAGCGGTATCTTTAAACGAGAAGTGTCGCGTTACGCGGCTTTTGCCCGAAATACGATAACCAGGCATTCGCGGACCATGGAGGATATTTCAGGAACATGTTTATTCTTCTAGCCTCGAAATATATGCTGATAGTCACCCAACTAGTGGAAGGCGGTGTCATAGAAAAATCCCATACCACGTTCTGCTCACCCCTGTTCCTGATCCCCAAACAAGATAGATCACCCAGAGTCATATCTCAAACTTTTTAAAATATTTTATAAAATACCCATTCATTAAAGACGATTCGATGATCGCACCAATGTTGGCTAGCACTAGCAATGCCGCCAAAATTGACCTAAAATCGGCATTCTATTTAATTTGGTTGGCTCAAAGCTGAAGATGTTTTTTTAGATTATCTACCGCTACCGCGAAATTTCGCTATAAAACATTATCCATGGGCGCTGGCTTCTCGCCTTACGCGTTACAAAATACTATTCTGGACCTATGTGCTAAATCAATCAAAGAAGCTCATTATTCGATATATCTAGATGATGTTTTCCATGCCAGCGATCACGCCGATTTTCAGGATACCATGTCATTCCTTAATCTTGCTGCAGCCAGGGGGCTAACGTCACTCGCACTAAATCAGTGACCATTCCAACGGGAGAGATGTGTTACCTGGGTATCGATATCGATTTCGAGCAGAAGACAGTGTCGGTGAATAAAGAAAACAAGACGCGTCTTAAGTTTTGCCAACTAATATTTTACAAGCCTACTCTCCAAGCCATGTCGAACGAAAAACTCCATCACTATAAGAATTTTCACTCCTTCTATTCAGTTTTTAATATCATTGTAAATCAGTTTTTTTATTTTTATCTGTAGGTTTAATTGAGACTTTGAAAGGAAAGGTTAAAAGATTTTCCCATGATTTAAGGGAATTTAAAATTGAATTAACTTCCATAATAAGTGCTGTTAAAAAATTAGAAATTAGAGACCTTGATTCAAGGGATAGGTGGATTAAGGTTGGTCGCTTTTTCCACTTTAAAAAATTATCATAAAAATTAGGATATAAATTTTGAGTTACAATGGGGGTTGCTTCAATTTTGTTGTACAAAATTTAATTTGAAGGGGGGTTTACCAGAGTTTAAACATTGTTTTGTCCTGAGCCCATGTTTATAAAAACAAATAGTTTGGGTCAAGGTTATATTTCTATGACAGGCATTACAAATGCTTGACATACCCATTTTAGAAGGGAAAAAAAAGGAGGATGTAGGGGGGGTGGTATAATATGAACGAATGACCTATTTCTAAAATTTCAAAAATGCTATTTTTAAAAATTAAAAAAAATAAAAAATTATAAAATTTAATTAAAAATTTGATTTTGTTGTATCAAGATTCATGATATTATGGTTTAAAAAATTGAGTAATGTTTATGATACAAACTAACTTAAAATCTATATTTTTGAAAAATATGTATTAAAATTTGGGGTTTAGATGATTGTGGAATTGGAATATTTAAAAATAATATAATAATCAAGTAGATAAATCAACTAACTGGTATTTTTATCATTGTTGAGTCAAAGAAATCTTGGTGGTAAGCTTCTATGGCTATTATATATATATATATATATATAAGCAGTGGACATTATTTGGTGGAATATTTAGGTTTAAAAATAATTTGAAAATATTTGTAATCCAATCCCATGTTCAAATAATTATATGATCGAAGATCAATCTCCATTTGTTCTATATCTTGCATTGGATGAGGATTAATTGAATAATTGAGGATATAATATATCAGTCATTAGGTGGCTTAGAAATTAAATATTGATGGAATGGAATCATCTTTCAATAGAATCTTTTGAATATCAATAAATTGGTAGTCATAATTAAAATAATATTTCAATTTTCTACTAGGAGGTTGTAGTCAATTTATAAAGTATGGAAAATGAATAATTTTATTGAGAGGGATATATTTTGAAGCTTAAATTTATCTTCGATCTTCATTATGAATTTGATATATTCAAAATTTTGGTGTATACTTCAAATATCCATAATCGCTTAGGTTAGTATTTTAAATGATAAATTAAGGTTGGTTCGCATTCATGCTTGAAATAATTAAATCTAGCTCTGAAAAAAAATTTTCAGTAATATCTAATGGTTTCATTTTGATTAAGTCAGAACAACTTCAATATTTTTTGGAATTTGTGTTTGAGTATACTTCCATTATAAGAATTGTAGTGTAGGTTTGGTTCTCTATTTGAAAAATCTTGAGGGATGAAATCTTAAACGGGTGTTATTATCCATTTCTGATTGTAAGTGTTTGTTGTGATAGTAATCTTGTATCAGAACCATTAAAATGATCAAATTATAAAAGTATTTTGATTACAAAAATTGATCTCTTACCCCATTTTAAGTTGTCGCAACAACTTATATTATTATACACATCGTCTCTATTGTCATTTTTATAGATGTATATAAGATGCAATAAAGACAGTTAGAATAGCCTGACACGACGGTCTTCCAGTACTTTGTGTACTCAGTACTTTGTGTACTCAGTACTTTGTGTACTGGAGGGCCCTGCAAATTTTTTAGCTATAAATTTTAACGATCTCTATTGACTTATTTAATTTGCTTAGAATCAATATTATTTAAAAGTGCAATAAGCTCTAAATATATAAGCTTAAAAAAAGGCTTGTTTTTTTTAAAATTTAACAAAAGGATATTTGTCTATTTATAATTTATTTAACAATTTAATCAGTTATAAATATCGACTTAAGGAAAAAAATTGACTATTTAAAAAAAAATTAACTTTAACCTTGGACACTTGGATTTTCATGAGTATATAAAGTTGTTATAATATTGAATCAATTTCAATACCTACTATTTTTTTTTTTAAAGTTATCGCAAAAATTTAGCATGAAATTTATCTTTGGATTTGGAATTATACTCATCTTTTGTTCAAGACATACAGAGTCGTCAGGTATAAAATTATTATTGCTAATTTATTTTATTTTAAAGGATAGTGTTGTTGAATGGCTCGTTTTGAGCCGATTTTTAAAAGATGGCTTACTCAATATTTCAGTACCTAAGCCTCGATATTTCCATAATATATGTTTAGACCTTTGTTTCCTTCTATCAGCAAAATCTTCAGGCTTGCCTAATATTTTTTCTGGATGAAATATTGAGTAAGCCGTTTTTAAAACTCGGCTCAAAACGAGTCGATTTAACAACACTATTTTAAAGATGTAATAACTATACTATGATGCTATTTATAACAAATAAATTTTGGGCTAAAAATAAGAAGAAGAAGATAAATGCTTCACAAAACCTTTCGAGGCACGGCCCGAGATCTATTTGAGATATTCAAATGTACTAGTAAACCAGGAAACTTTTGATCTCGAATTACAATATGCTAATCCTCCAAATCAAAGAACGCGCAATAGTGTGTACGAATTATTTGCCCACCCCGATGTGGGGCTTACTAATCCCACGTTTGTAAAGATGGGAAATTTCAGGAAAGAGGTTAATTAATATTTTCTTAAAGAACAAAGAAAAAATAATACAAATAGAGATATTTAAAAATACTTTTAAAATAACATATTTAAATATAGTTTCTATGTATATGTTAGCGTCAATTTGTTTTTTTATTCCGGCCAATGTGTGTTATTTTTTCAACTATAAATCATTTTTTAAGCTAGATTTTTTTTTTTGAAATTTAAGAATCTGATTTTACCAATGACATATATAATACCTAGACTGACGATTCATTCATTAAAATGCATTTTTAAGCGTCGTTTAAAGCAAATCAGTTGGACTCGCCATTTTTGGTAACACATATTAGTAATTATGCTCATGTTAAAAAAACTACTATTAAATTGATAACTTGCTTCCTTATTATCTCGATGATCCTGTAATTCTTTAATAAAGTTTGCATCAGATAGGAATAAACTAGGCTCTCGTTTAAAATTTTAATAATGATTAGTGTAACCAAGATGGCATCTCCAGCTGATTTGCTAAATGAATGAATCGTCAGTCTAGGTATTATATATGTCATTGGATTTTACCGAAAATATATTCCAACATATTTGGGAAATACCTACTTTATAAATTTGTAGACAATAACCTTTGAGTCATTTAAAATTGTATAAAAAAAATCTATGGGAAAAATTAAATTTAAATTATATTAAGTTCAGAGGTTTCTTAGCAAATTTTGTCTAAATATCACAGGATACCTATTCCAAACACGGCATATAGTACTGTTAAACGGCTGAATCATTATTTTATCCAGAAAAATATTGTCTAAGCCTCAAGATTTGACTAATACATGTCCAAACCTTTGTTCCTTCTACAAACAAAATCTACAGGCTTGCGTAATAGTATTCTGGATGAAATATTGAGTTAGCCGTTTTAAAAAATTGGCTCAAAACGAGCCAATTTAACAACACTAACAGCACACATATTCAGTAAAATCATTTTTTTAAAAATTTTTTAAAAACGAGCTCAAAAAATTGATTTAAAGTTTAAAAAAACAACAAATTATACATTGCCGGAAAAAAACATATTTCCGCTAATATATGTATAGTCGATAGTTTTTCAAATGTATATTTGAAATAGAAATACAGAATTATATTTTTACATTTAAAATATGGACAAGATAGTAATTTATAATTAAGATTATATATTGTTAGTTATTATAGATTACAATTTATTTTTAATCAAATAAGAAAAAAAAACCGAATTGAAGACTGGGAAAAATATTTAAAAACTGTAACGAGGATTTAAAAATCCTATATGTGGTGAGCATATAGTTTTAGCAGAAATTAAAGTAGGTTTGGAAAGCATATTTAAACATACACCATCTTACACTTATACTAGTAAATCGTCTTATAGTTTAAAAAAGACCAGATGTTATGACCTTAATACCCCTGACCTTAATACCCCATAAAGGCCTACATCGGGATTGATAGATCAAATAGTTCACGATCTGTCCTGGTCCATGCTGAACACTTAAAGAAAGAAGAAAAATAACAAATACTCCCAACTTTTTAAATTGAAATTGACGGTCACCAGTTATGAACAACTTTTGGAATCTTTGAGGCGAGGCTTTCCAATTAATTAAAATAAAGGCCTCTGGAAAATGAATTGTAGGCTGCGAAAGATCCATACGAGGTGTTTAATATATACTCCTGAAGATTTCTTCATTTATTCTTTGGATGTTGGATACCCCCCCCCCTCTCTCCCCACACCTTTATTTAAATGATATCTCATAATTCTTATTACCATATATGATTTACATTTAGATTTAGAATTTCTGTTATTTTATTTTTTTTATATCCGAGAAAAAAATATGTATACTTTTCACATTTTGTAAAATTTTTTGAGAACGTTTTTGTAAAAATTTAAAAATCTGAATTTACCGGAAATGGATGCCGTAATGTTTGAAATACCTTACCCTACGAATTTCAAACAATTTTTTCGTGAACTTTTAAACTTAATATAATTTAATATAAAATGTTAAATTTTATATATTTTTTTAATATATATTATAAATGATTCAAAGGTTAACAAGGTCTACAATTCATAAGATAGGTATTCTCAAACATGATAAAACATATTTTCGGTAAATTCCGATTTTCTCGTGCTCTAAAAATGATTTAAAGTTGCATAAAAATAATAGCACATTGCCGAAGAAAAACACAATGATGCTTAACAAACAAAGAAAGAAAGAAAGAAAGAAAGAAAGAAAGTAATTCCTTTCGAATTTCCCTTTTTTGTATTTAAATCGTTTGTCCAATAATACAGGATCTAGTTGTAATCAAAGGACTCAAAATAAAGACACCTTATTATATTTACATAACCGAAGATGACGTGGTTGGATCTGCCACAAAGACTTTTCCCTACTTTTTCAAATGTAATTTTTTTTTAAATATCTTGTCTGCTATAATGAAAAAAAAGAAGTATCTTTAAAGTAGTGTTGTTTAAACGGTCCAATTTGTAACGATTTTTTTAAAAAGGATACGACTAATATTTAAGACAAAATGACGTTATATTAGCCCGGAATAGCTATGGAATGGGTTGATTATTACGTTCACGTGATATCAACCCTAATCGGAAGCCATGATCAACACTAATCTATAAAGATTATAATCTTAAAAAAATTTTTAAAGAGTATATCCTTCTTTATCTTAATTTTTCTTTTTTATCATTTTTTAGTTGAAATTGAAAATGCGAACATGTTTTATCAAAGAAGTGAATAAAATAATATATATTATATATTATATATTTATTAATCTTTAGCGCAAGGCGCCAATACTTCGATAAGTTATAATTTTAATGATTATTTTTTGATATGGGGTTAAACAAATTTTAACTCGATTACCAGACTTTACTTACCTTTATACATAAGGAAAAATGATGGATCCTAGAGAAAATATTTTATTGTCCTGCGTTTCTTAATAATTGCATTGTGCCTCTTTTTCTAAGATTAGTATAGTAGAGCTTTGTGTTAGTCTTCCAATTCAAGGGTCATGAATAGTTATTTTTTTTTAATTATCCAGATTGAGCCAGAAAACCACGACTCATTTAAGAATATTTAATCCTAAATAATCACCTTCGATTAGCCTTGATTTACAATTAAAACTTCCCTATATGAGTTGAGCTCTTTAGCTTGAGCCGACTAAATAATATTAGTAGGAGGTTAAAGTCCAGTTAATTATATTTAGATTCTGTATTTTTTTTTTGAATACTAACTAATTTGATATTAGAAAGAGAAGTTTTTTTTATATTAACAGATACTTATTTTATTTGTGCTATCCAAATAATCCATATATGGGATTTAAAATTATTTTTAAAAAAAATATGAGTGTAAATATAAATATGATATTTCTTTCTCCCAATACTCCTACCTATCTTCTGACCTCGTCGATGTGTGTAGCGTGATAGTTTATATTTATGGATAGAATAGGGGATTATCTTTAAATCCACTTAACAATAAGTGATTTATGTTAATTTATTTTAAAAAAAAATCATGAGTGTTATTATATAAATATATTTAATTCCTTGATTTGACAGGTATTGATTTGTACGACGGATTAAAGGCGTGCATAGTGGACAAAGTCTTAAAGGTTACTTTTGAATTTGATGGGGTTGATGCCTATAACAGTTATCGGGGAAATAACGTAAAGGCAATTATATACCTAATCCCCAATTATGGCGGATATTATGAGGAAACTGTAGAGATTCAAAAGGTATATATAAAAATCCCCATTATTTGGCCTTATAATATAGGAATTTATTTACATATACTTTAGATTGGTAACAGGTATTCTGGGCAGATGGACCTGAAGAACAAAGAATTATCGGTAGAAAAATCCTACTCGGTTGATATCAAACCAATCGCGAATACCGGTAGAGCGGGGTCTAAACCTTCTCCATATTTGCTTGTCGGTAGAGTACCGGTAAAGTTTACTGCAGAAGATATCAATTCTGATGTCAAATACGGATATTTCCAGAATTAGATTTAATCGAATGATACAATAAGTTAATAAAAATTTAAATAAAATAAATAAATTCTGGGGTTACAATTATAACAAAATTTATGATTATTATAAAAATTATCTTTAAAAATGATTGATTAGAAAAAAAATTAAAATAATCAATCATATACTTTTTGATGTCAAATTAAATTATAGAAATTGGGAATTAGCTGAATAATAAAAAATTTAAACGATGCGTTAACTTTCACGTAAATATCTTTCCTTACATTAATATTAGCTCACATTCAGTAGCCTATTTTGAAATTTGCTTTCTCAACCCCGAGATTCCCTTTCCCATTTATACTAATTTTCATTCCAAATATAAACAGCGTTATTTTTTTTAAGGAACCCTTAAACAGGATGTTTTCAGAATTTTTGAAAACACTAATACTAGAGATGTGGAGGAGTGACGGAACAAATTCAAATTTATCATGATTATATTATTATGACTTGATTCTATAAAAAAAGGATAAGACACACTCCCTACAAATATTTTTGATGAGCGTAGATTTCTGTTAGTGTATCCCGTTTATATCATATATCATGCAATCATATCATATAGAAACATACTAACATTAACATAGAAAAGTTATGACTGAAGTAAGAGAACCGTTATATAAAGAGAAAATAATGCAAAAATTTATAAAGAGGAAAATATATGCCCCTGAAACCCATTATTCTTTTAAAATAATAAAATCGTATAATCAACGAATTATTTAAATATAATTATATATACACAAATAATGATAAAAATTAATTTATTATAAGATTCGATAAACTCCTTAATAAAATTTTTGCCCCAACCCGCTATCCCTGTAAGATTTAACTCATTATTTTACTTAACCCTTTTTTTTAAAATTATTAATTTTTCCTTATTTCATTACCAATCTCATTAAATAGTTTATAAGATTAATAATCTTGGCCCCGAATTTTATTTTATTCTTTAGGGCTCAAACCGGCCCGAAATATTTGATTACGAAAGAAAGAAAGAAACGGATAGAGAAAGAAAGAAAGAAAGAAAGAAAGAAAGAAAGAAAGAAAGAAAGAAAGGAAGGAAGGAAGGAAGGAAGGAAGGAAGGAAGGAAGGAAGGAAGGAAGGAAGGAAGGAAGGAAGGAAGGAAGGAAGGAAGGAAGGAAGGAAGGAAGGAAGGAAGGAAGGAAGGAAGGAAGGAAGGAAGGAAGGAAGGAAGGAAGGAAGGAAGGAAGGAAGGAAGGAAGGAAGGAAGAAAGAAAGAAAGAAATAAATAAAAATCCCTACTATTAATTTTCTACTTTCAGTTTCTTTTAATATCTTTTATCAATTGTGTTAAATTGCTCGATTTTTAAAAACGGCTAAGCCGATATCTTTTTACTAACGGCTAGAGATTTCGCTTATAGATAGTAAAATGACTTTATCATTTATTAACGAAATCGCGATGCTTGCTTAATTTTTCTTGTCTTAAATATTGGATTGTTCGTATTTTTAAAAATCGACAATACTAATTTGCACTATAATTTTTTTAAAATAAAGCAAAAAATAAACGAAATATTTAGAAACGGTATAATTTTTTTAAAAATATAAAGCAAAAATTAAACGGACTTTAAAATTTGGCTTTGAATGTAATTCATAATATACGGTTAATTTTTTAAAAATATAAATTAAATATAGCCTTGTATGTTTTCATTTAAACGGTTAATTTTTTAAATATAAAGCAAAAAAATTAACTAACTTTAAATATAGGCATGATTTTAATCATTTAGACGGTTAATTTTTTTAAAAAATATAAAGCAAAAATTAACTTTAAATGTAATTCATTTAAACGGTTAATTTTTTAAAAATATAAAGCTCTTTAAATATAGCTTTGGGTGTATTCTTTATTCTTAAAAAATAAAGAGTATAAATTAACGAATTTTAAAATGAATAACTTTGAATATATATGGTTAATTTATTGAAATGAAGCAAAACTAAAATAAACGAACATTAAATTTAACCCTGGATGCATTAAAGCAATGCGTTTATGTGGTTAAAATTTTTTCTTAAATTAAATTATTATAATTTATATTTATATTTAGAAATAAATTTTAATTTAACTTTTCACTAATTGTTTATATAAGAACAATATTAATATTAACTAGGATTTGAACTCTATTAAAATTGAGAAATCTACAAACAAGCCTATATCAGCAATATAATCTATAAAGTATTATATTCTCATTTTTTAATATTCGAATCAATTATTATTTTTTATTCGATAAAAAATATTCTAACTTTTATACGAATTCTTGTTTCAACCTCTGGTTGTGGGTGGCTACAAAGTAAACTAAAACCTTAATGCATTTTATTCAAAATATAGATAATTTATTTCAATCATTCAAATCACAGATAAAATTTTAACACAATCACATACAATAATCAATAACGTTTCAAAGCTACACCTCATTACCCCGTTCAAAATAATTTAAAACTTTTGAGATATAATAATAAATAGACTGACGATGGAAAAATGTACATCAAAAAACAGCCGGGGACGCCATTTTGGTTACCCATATATTTATTATAAATTAAAACGAGAAGTCAATTTATTCCTATGTCTGATGCAAACTTTATGAAAAGAATTTCCTGATCATCGAGATAATAAGGAAGCAAGTTATGAATTTAATAGTAGTTTTTTATATAGGAATAATTATTATATGGGCAATCAAAATGACAGGCTACAAACGACTCTTTCAAATGCTCTATTATGATGTATCGTCAGTCTGGGTATCATTATATGTAATTGCTTCACACTCAGGACTGTAGTTAGTAATAGATTATCTTTTCAAGAACCAATGTGATAATCTTATTACTACTCTTAAACTATGATACCAGAAATGATTATGATTTTATTAGGAAGTTTTTTTATATGACTCAATTGATTTGCATAATATTTATAAATAATATCCTAAAAGATATTTTTTTTGGTAGGATTATAGATTTCCTAAGGTTTTGGAGAGGGTTTGCCTCCATTACATTTGCTATCATGGGGTGAGAGGAAGAGGGTAGGGGATAGTATCGTCATTGGCTTAGGGGAGTGTATCACTACCAGACATCTTTTAACATGTATTGATTTTGTATTAATATCATACATGTGTTTATAATATAAAATCAAAGATATATACATTGTATCAAAGTCGGAAATAAATTTCACATTAAAATGTTAATAAATTAATGTAACAAATTTATTTTGAACCTTCAATTTTCATAGGTTAGGAAGCCAAGGGTGATATGCAAATAAATGTTTATTTCATAAATCGGATTATTTAGTTATTTATATTTGTTACTAATGGATTCGATTTGAAATTTTTAAGGCTATGTATACAAATTAACATTCACTTTCGATAAATATTGGTTTAGGGGAGAGAACATTAATCCCTCTATTATTTTATTTTTATATTAGTAATTGATTTTGTAAAGAAGATTATCCAAGCCGACAATCTACTATTGGCGGATAGAAATGAGTCAGAAAAATTTACAGGAATGGAATAGGGATTGTAGTAGTTGAGGGAGACAATGGCTGTGTTTAGTTCTGATAATACCATTTTATAAGTCTTTATCATCCTTCAGAAATTGTAAAGGACTATGGTGATATAGAATTTCGTCCCTTGGTTAAAATAAAAATTTTTAGGAATTACCTGAAAATGGGTGTGACAGTGATTTCCCATATACTGTTAAAATTCCTTGAGTTTTTGTAAACTGTTTTTAAAGGGAAATCAAAATAAAAAACGATCAATGAAATAATGACAAGATCCATTATATTATTTTCAAACATTTTATCTTAATAATTGAATTTTAAAAAAAAATCAACCAACCCCGTTTCGAAAATGTGTTTTTACACCACGCCCGGCTCCGTGTTTATTTTTAATATAATAATATTTTGCATTTTAAATATTACATTTTTTAAGGCTGGCATTAGAAGTGGGGCCAGCGGATCCACTGAATGTTTCTAAATAAAGGATCCATAATATATATTAGCAAAATATAGCATAAATCGAGCATTGATATATGTAGCTTTATTAGTCTAATAATGTCTTTTTTTTTAAAATTAGCTTTCTAATCGAATCCTATTGATATTGAAAAAGTATCATAATAGAAGTAAAAAAAAGGTATATATATATATATCCCGAATCATCTCAAATATTAATTAAAATGTTAAAGATACAAATACATCATCAAGCATATATAGATCAAATATACATTTTTACAAATAGATACAGATATGATTCTTATTATACTTAAGTAGGGCGCGCAAAATGCTTAACTTAGGGTTTCCATTGTTAAAATTTAAATTTCGAAGTGAGCGAAAAAATTTATTTAGTTGATAATCACATCTATATATCAAATATATAATTTAAAAATAAAATGATTGTTAGATTATAATAATTTATATATACAAAGAAAATGTATAATTTAATGATGATTATAAATAACTGCTAGATTTTAATAATATAATAACATTCTTCAAAAATTTTTTAACATTAAGACTCTCCCGTGTGTAAAATTTAAGACACTCTAAACACTTTCTACCATAACACTTGACGGCCTTAGATATATACTGATCCTAGTTTACGTCATTTTATTATCCCCTAATCCTAGATATAATAACCGGAACCCTTTCCATCAGATGCATAATTTCGGTTAAAAATATTCAACCCTAGTATTCCCCCCCCCCTCACAAATCCTTTTAATATGATCTAAGGTGGGGTTGGATTTATTTAGTCCAGGGGTTTTTTTTTAAATTTATTTTTTAAACGTATTTTTGTACAGTGCCTTTTTTGAATGGGTGTATCAAATTTAAGCAATATAAATTATAAACAACTAGAGAAGCACATAAATAATAAAATAATTATATTCAAATTAGTAAACTTTATTTCTTAAAATAAATGACAATTAATAAACGCTATAATTAAGTATTTTTATTAAGTATTATAAAATTCTGCTTTATCTCTTAGTTGTGGGAGCCAATAGTAAATATAATTTTTGATATTTTTTATTGATCGCTTTATTCTTAAAGTAAT